TGTGACCCTAGAAAAACAGGAGCATCTCTGAGCACCGTACTCTGGCCTGTAAAATGAGAATGACGGTGGCACATTCCTGCTCACTGACCCGGTTGTTTGCGGGAAGAATAAGAGCATGGCAGAGGAAGCGATCTGAAAACGACAAAGCACCGTGAAGAGAGAAAGGGTGTTGCTGTTGTGATCATTATCTGTAAAACAAAAGAGTATTAGCACAAAGTGCTTGTCAAGCAGAGGGAAAGCCAGCTGAGGCAGAGAAACAATAACCACCCAGATCGGGCAAGATAAGGAATTAGAGGAGAAAGGTACAGTGCTTTGCTGATTTGAGGGCAATAAAGCTCACTTCCTCCAGGAATGTGAGCCTAAAGATAAGAAGCCCTGGTGTGGCCATGGGAAGGGCTCTGCTGGGCTCAGAGCAGAACCTAGGCTCAGGTATCCGAGTACAATTCCTTCGTGCAGAGGACAACTTAGAAAGTTAGTCTGTTAACGTATATTAGTCACTTCCTGAGTGTCAGGAACTATGCTGGGTGTGTTCCTGAGGATCTTTTCAGGAGTATTGCATCTAGAAAGGATGAAAGAGTCGATGGAGGGTCCCCTCACAGCCCACGTGGCCCCGTCTATGTCACCCCAATATCCAGTGGAACATTTCTCTACACCATAAGGAAAAAATGGAGGCACTTTGGAAACACTAGAACATGAAACATGATAGTCCAGGAAATCGCGTATGTGAATCGGGAAGCACATGGCACGGTTCTCTTTTATGTTATAATAATGATGATAGCTAGCACGTGTGCCATGCTCAGCACGTGCCAGGTGCTAAGCTAGACGCTTGACAGTCTATTCATTAATTAAAACAAACTGAAAGTGAAGATAAACATAAGCACCATCACACAGAGAAGTCTGCATCCCTCCTTCCCTACCTAACCATTCCCATGGTCCTTGCCTCTGGATTTTCAATGACAAAGGACAAAAGTATGTCCAAAGCGGGCAGCCATCCAGGTAGTCCCTGATAAGAGCACTACCAGCAGTGGTGACAATAATCACATCACATTCAATAGACAAGTGAGAGGACAAGTGATGGTGGATGAGGCTGGAGGGTGCTCCATGCAGTGAAGGGAAGCCACGGCCAGAGGGACCAAGGGGACTGGTCATAAACTCCGTGGGAAGTTGGAGAAGTGGTCAGCTTAACATGATCCCACTGAGATTTCGTCTTTTTCACCCAGGTAGAGATTTTAGGAAACTGGATCTTGTCATGATTCTTTGAGTGGAAAGAGAATAATTTAGTAACTGTTGCTTGTGTGTGCGCAAAGGTGCATGACCTACTAATAGGACCATCAGGGTCCTGGAAAGAGACATTTTCTTTGGCACTGAAGGACAATGTTCTACCCACCCCTCCCCAACAAGAAGAGCACGGTGTTCCAGTGACATTTACTTGACGGCCCCCACCAGCTCCTGACTACTGCGACCACGGTATCCAGAGAGCTCAGTTTTCCTACAGAGCTGGTGAGCACAAGTCATTTCGTGTACCTGGAAGTTTTGTGATTTTTTTTTATTTTGTCTGAGGTCAAGCCCTTTTTTCCGAGCCAGCAAACATTTCATTTTCGCTAAGACGAAGGAGGGAGGAGAGGCAGCCTCCAATGATGTGCTGTCAGTAGGCCATGGTTTAAATCTGAAAAGATGGCCCTGTTCATTGTAGGTACAGCCATTGCTTTGATCGTTTACCACCTGACTTGACCATCACACTTGGATTGGATCCAAAAACAAAAAATCTTTGGCAGCTAAAGAGTCCTTTTTTCAACCAAATACCATGCCTCCCATATTTGAAACCACTTAAAAAGCATCTTTTGATATATGTGTGTACCCCCCACTTCGTCACTGTACGTATCATTCCATTTAATCCTTAAAACAATCCTGAGAAGACAGGAGTTACTAGTAATACCTCTGTTTTCTAGCTGATAGAATGAGGCTGTGAGCAAGCAAACAACGTTTTCAAGATGAGAAAGCGGTAGAGCTGAATCTCACTCTAAGTGGGACCTTGATCGTCACCCTTCGCCACCCTGCATTCAGTGCTTGGCTATAGACTTGGCAACTTCTTTGAAGGTCTATTCCGCCTCGTCCCCAGCAATGGAATTCCTTCCATGGCAACAGCTGAGGTTGGAGGCGTCTGTACACCTGTAACTCAATCCTTTTGTGGCTGCTTCTTTCCTACTTGCCTGTAGCCTCTGGTACAACTGCTTAAGGCACAGAGAGCACTCGTGAACCTCAGAAAAGGGACAGTCATGGCACAAAAACCTCCCGATGCTGGATATGGGGTCTGTCCTTTTTTACCTTCTCTTTTCCTTGTAAATTACAGTTGGTTGCACAGTGTCTGCTTCCTTCTGGGATGCATATGCTTCTGCCTCTCAATCTGAATGCCTGTCAAGTAGCCCAAGACAGAGCTGCATTCAAATGCACAGCTGAAAGTTGTCTTCAGAAGCCCTCCATAAATCAGATCTACAAACTCAGCAAGCACATCTCTGGAGGTGGTAGATAGCAGCACAGGCAAAGACAGAAAACACCCACCCTCCCCAAGCAAGTCATCCGATAGCTCAGAAGTTTCCATGGCTCCAGGCTCAGACGGCAAGTTAAGGCAGTCAGCAAGAAAACGCTTGCTCTTCTTCCACCGAATGGATCTCCAGCCTCCCTGGCAGTGGAAGAAAAAGGGGATCTGGGGTGTCAGGAGGAGCCCCCATCTCAGTAGACACTCATGTCAGTTTATCTGTAGGGTCCCCAATATGCCAATCTCATTCTACCTCTCAACTAGTGACTAGTGTTCAACCCTTCTAGGCGATGAGGTCTTTTTGGACACAGGGCGTAGGTTTCTCACACATCTTTGCCATGTATCTTACATAGGCTCACTTTTGAAAAAAAAATATTGGTAGAGTTAATTTGAGTTAGATGATTTGACTTGTGTTGGTGGCCATAAGAAAATTCACAACAAGATAAATAATAAAGAAATGATCATTACTAACTAATATACATAAAATAAACAAGTTCATGCTGTATAGCACAGGGAACTGTATTCAATATCTTGTAGTAACTTATGGTGAAAAAGAATATGAAAACGAATACATGTATGTTCATGTATGACTGAAGTATTGTGCTGTGCACCAGAAACTGACACAACATTGTACACTGACTATACTTCAACAAATATATATATATATATATATATGTACACACACACACACACAAAGAAGAAATAATCATTAAAGCCAAGACACCAAGGGAGCCTAGAGTGAGCAAAGAAACACCGTGGGCTGAAGAAGCCAGCCGTTCTTGGAGGGCACAGATAGGCACATTGCTGACCCCTTTCCCCTAACAAATGGCTTTTGGGAGGGGCCTGGGCAACCCTGAGAGCAGAACTGAGTCCAGACCAGGGTGGAAGTTTCTCCTGCTTCCAATTTCAGTGCATGGAGCCAAGGGGCAATTAGAGAAAGTAGACTCTTACTGTAAGCCAGGAAATTTAAATGGATTATCTTTCTTTTCACAGCTTTACTGAGGTATAATCGACACCCGATAAACCGCACATATTTAAAAGTACACAATTTGATAAGGTTTGGCATATGTATACATCAATGGAATTATCACCACCATCAAGATCATGAGCATATCCATCATCCCCCCAAATTTCCTTGTGCCCTCCCTCCTGCCCCCGCCCCACCCCTTCCCAGGGCAATCACTGATTTGCATTCTTTTGCTATAGATTTGTTTGCTTTTTTCTAACATTTTTAAATAAACGGAATTGTACAATATGTACTCCCTAGTTCATTCTATTATACTGCTAAGTAATACACACGATTGTTTTAGACACTCACCTGTTGATGGGTGCTTGGATTGCTTCCAGTTTTGCACTACTACAAATAAAACTGCTATGAATATTTATGTACAAGTCTTTCTATGGACACATGTTGTCATTTCTGTGGGGTAAATACCTAAGAGTGAAATAGCTCAATCATGTGGTAGGCATATGTTGAATGCTTAAGAAACTGCCAAGCATTTTGCAAAGCCTTTATACCACGTTACATTAGCACCAGCAATATATGAGAGTTCCAGTTCTGACACATTCTTGCCAACATCTAGTCAATCTTTTCAATTTTAGCTGTTCTAACAGGTAGTGGTATAACATTGTGGCTTTAATTTGCATTTTCTTAACGACTAATGATGTTGAATATATTTTCATATGTTTATTTGCCATCTGTATATCTTCTTGGGCGAGTATTTGTTCAAATCTTTTGCCCATTTTTAATTGGTTTCTTTTTTTCTTATTACTGAAGTTTTTAAAAATCAATTTTGTTGAGGATTAATTTACATACATTTCAATGAGTTTTGAAAAACGCATATATCCCAAGAACTACCACCACAATCGAGCTGTGGAGTGTTTCTATCATCTTATAAATTTCTGCCTCCTTTTGGATGGCTCATCCCTCTCCAACTTTCACTCTTTTTTAAATGACAGCATTATTGAGATATAATTCACATATCAAACAATTCACCCATTTAAAGTATACTGGTCAGTGTTTTTTAATATATTCACAAATTTTGAAATCATCACTGTAATCAACTTTATAACATTTTCATCACCTCAAAAAGAAACCACATGCTCGTTAGCAGACACTCCCCCTTCCCCCACTTCCCAACCACTAATCTATTTTCTGTCTCTGCAGCTCTTCCTATTCTGAACATTTCATATAAATTAAATCACATAATAGTTTCTGTGACTGTGTCTTTCAGGTAGCATAATGTTTTCAAGGTTCAATTAGCTTTGTAGCATATGTCAGCACTTTATTTCTTTTTGCTGCCAAATAATATTCTACTATATGGATATACTAGATTTTATTTACCGATCTATCAGCTGGCTGATACTTGGGCTTTCACTTTTTTGGCCGTTCCGTATATAATACTGCTATGAATATTTGTGTGCAAGTGTTTGTGTGGGTTATTGTGAGATAATAGAAAATATATGTATGCTGTTCTGCCCCTGGATCCTGACACAGAGCTCCTGAAAGTCTTGTAATTTCCTGAGTGATAAGAACACTAGGAGCATCTTTGTTCTAATGAAGCAACTCTGGGTGGATCCCTGGATGGTTCCTGGGTGGGAGCTACTCACCAGGAAGACCATACCACGCCTAGGAATTTGGAATTTTCAACCCCCTTGCCCTTAACTTCTCCAGAGAGGGTAGAGGGGCTGGAAATAAAGTTAGTAACTGATCATGCCTACATGAGGAAGCCGCTGTAAATCCCAGTAACAGGGGGTTTGGTGAGCTTCCAGGCTGGGAACACACCCACAAAACAGGTAGGTGACACACTCCGACTCCATGGGGACAGAAGCTCCGACACTTGGGACCCCCCCGAGACATTGCCCTGTGTACGTCTTTTTCAGGCGGTCCATCTATATCCTTTAATAAACTAGTAAATGCGGGTGTTTCCCTGAGTTCTGTGAGCTCCTCTAGCAAGCTAATCAAATTTTAAGAGGGAGAAGGTCATGGAAACCTCCGATTTGTATCCAAGCCAGACAAAAGTTCAAGGTAACTTGGGGACCTACTACTTGCAATTAGCATCTGAAGGTGGGGGAGCAGTTTTGTGGTACTGAGCCCTTAACCTGTGGGATCTGACGTTATCATGAGGTAAATAAAGTCAGAATTGAGTTGGGTTGTAGGACACCCAGTTAGTGTCATGGAGAATTGCTTGATGTGGAGGAAAAAATGCACACACATGTGACCAGAAGTGTCAAAAGTGTTGTTCTGTGTAAAAGTAAAGGAGATTCAGGAGGGAAGACTGGATTTTTACAATACAATTATGTTTTGTTTTTTCTTAAATATGTACCTAGGAAGGAATCTCTGGGCCATATGGTAATTCTATATTTGGTTTTTTTATAGAAATTGACAGATTGTTTTCCAAAGATCTGTACCATTTTACATTTCAACCAGCAGTCATGAAGATTTTGGTGTTTACACATCTGCAAAGACACTTATTATCATCTGTCTTTTTTATTATAGCCATGTTAGTAAGTATTAAGTGACAACTCACTCTGGCTTTGTTTCGCATTTCTCTGATGGCTAATGATGCTGAGCGTCTTTTCATGTCATATTGGCCATTTGTATATATTCTTTGGAAAGATGTCTATCAAATCTTTTGCTTATTTTTCAATTGAGTTATTCATTTTTTTAAATTATTGAGTTGTTAGTGTTTTTTATATATACTAAATACAAATCCCTTATCAAATATATAATTTGCAAAATTTTTCTCCCATTTTGTAGGTTGTCTTCACTTCCATGATGGTGTATTTTGGAGAATAAGTTTTAATTTCATTGATATCTCATTATTGAGATTCAAATGTTTTTTGTGTATTGTAGATATATGCATATTTCTACATATATATCCTTTATCAGATATATGCTTTGCAAATATTTCCTCCCAGTTTGATTTGTCTTTTCATTCTCTTAACAAACAATATCTTTTGAAAAGCAGAGTTTTAATTTTCATGAAGTCAAATTGATCAACATGTTCTTTTATACACTCTGTTTTTGTTATATTATCTCTTGAGACTTTTGCCTAATCCAAGATAACAAATATTTCATGCTGTGTTTTCTTTTAGAAGTTTTCTAGTTTAGGTTTTTCATTTAAATCTATGTTGGATTTGAGTTAACTTTTTTATATCATGCAAAGTATGGATTAAAGCTTTTTCTTTTTTTTTTAATATAGATATTCAGTTGTTCAGCACCATTTGTTGAAAAGACCATCCCTTCTCCACTGAATTGCCTTTTTACTGTTGTCAAATAAGTTGTCCAGGTATGTGTGGGTCTTTCCACAGACTCGTATTTTTCTTATTGTCTATCTTTACACCAATACCATATTGTCTTGATTTCTGCAGATTTATTAGCCTTGCAATCAGGCAGTGTTACCCCTCTAACTTTGTTCTTTTATAAAGTTGTTTGGCTAGTCCAGATTCTCTGCATTTCCAGTGAATTTTAGAATCAGCTTACCAAATTCTACCAAAAAAAAAAAGCCTGCTGCAATTTTGATTTGGATTGCACTAAATCTATAAATCAATTTAGGTACATGGACATCTTAGTAATACTGAGTCTTTCAACCCATAGTAAATTGTATGTCTATATTTATTTAGGTCTTTAACTTCTTTCAACAATTTCTTATAGTATTGTTGTATAGGTTTTTAGCATCTTTTGTCAAATTTGTCACTATTTCACATTTTTCATGCAAGTGTAAATGATACCGCAACTTAATTTCAATGTCCACTTATTCATTGCTAGTACATAAAAATATAGTTGATTTTTACATATTGATCTTGTATTTTATAATCTTGCTAACCTCACAAGTTCTAGTAGATTTTTGTGAATTCCATCAAGTTTTCTGTATCAGTGATTCTCAGCTAGGAGTGTTTGAGACCCTGGGGGGTCATATGTGATATTGGAAGACATTTTGGTTGTCACACCTTGGTGTAGGTGGGTACTAGCAGTGATGTTGGCAACTAGTGAATAGAGGCTAAGGTTGTTGCTAAACTTCCTACAACACAAAGGACAATTTCCCACAATAAAAAGTTATTGAACTAAATTATCCAGCAGAGGTTGAAAAAACTGTCCTAAATGCACAAGAATCTCATTTGCAAGTAAAGACAGTTCACTTCCTGTTTTCCAGCCTGCATGATTTGTACTTCTTTTTTAACCTGGTAATACTAGTCAAATCTCCAATGTTGGATAAAAGAGAGAGAAGCAGACGTATTTGTCTTGATTTTAGGGGCAAAAATCAACCTAGCCTTTCACCAGTACGTACGATGTTAGCTGTAGACGACCTTTATCAACTTGAAAAAGTTCCCTTCAATTCTCAGTTTGCTGAGATTTTATTCAAGAATAAACGTATTTTGCCACGTTATTTTTCTGCATTTATTGAGACAATCATATAGTTTTTCTTTATTAGTTTTGGAATTTGATAATATGCTTCCTAGGATAAAGACCCCTAGTTCAAGATACATACTCCTTTTTCTATGTTGGATTGGATTTGATAGAAGTTTGTTTTGAATTTTTCATTTTTGTTCCCAAAAGATACTGGTCTGCAATTTTTTGGGTTTTTGGTTTTTTTCCACCTGTCATGTGTTTGTCTACTTTTGGTATCGAGGTAATGTTAACCTCAAAGAATGTCTTGAGAAGTAGCCCCTCCCCTTCAATTTTCTGAAGCAGTTTATGTAGAATTGGTATTATTTCTTCCTTAAAAGTTTGGAAGATTCACCAGTGAAGTCATGTGAGACTGCAGTTTTCTTTGTAGGAAGATATTTAACTACAAATTCAGTGTCTTTATCTGATACGTGAATATTCAGGTTATCTGTTTCTTCTTGAATGCGCATCAGTAGTCTGTTCTTTTCAAGGAAGTAAGTCATCAATTTCACCTTAGATGTCAAATTTATAGGAATAAAGCTGTTCAGAGCATTTCCTCATTATCCTCTGAATCTGTGTTGCCCTGTAGTGACGTCACCTTTCATTTCTGACATGGGCAATTTGTGAGCCTTTTTTTTTCCTGATCATGTGGTGGTTCTAAGAGATGAACAAAACTGAGAAACCTCTGGCCAAACTGTTTTCTAGTTTGGTTATTTCTGCTTTGATCTTTATTTTCTTCCTTTCCACTTTAGTTCTAATTGCTCTTCTTTTCCTAGCTTTTAAAATAGAAGATGAGATCATATGATTTGAAACTATTCTTTCTTAATACAAATGTTTTGTGCTATAATTTCCCCCTAAATACTGCGACAGAGCACCCCACATCATCTAATATATAGTGTTCTCATTTCATTCAGTTCAAAACCTTCTGATTCCTTCTTTGACCAATGGGTTATTTAGAAGTGCATTACGTAGTTTCTAAATCTCTGGGGATTTTCTAGGTATATTTCTGTTATTGATTCATAATTTAACTCCATTAAGGTGAGAGAAGAAACATAGAGTGTAGGACTTGAATCCTTTTAAATTTGTTGAGACTTGTTTCGTGGCCCAGAACAGGGTCTGTCTTAACAATCTGTAATAGAAAGCAGGCCCAAGACATGGGACAGGCATTCGAGGGCAGCCTTCCATCTCTGAGAAGAGCCTGATAAAGCTCTACGCACACTCAAAAAGAATGCATGTTCTGCTGTTACTGGGTGGAGTTGTTCTATAAATGTAAGCCAGGCTTGTTGGTTGATAACATTGTTCAAGTCTGTCTTGTTCTTGCTGATGTTCTCTTTTGAGATCTGTGGCTTTATAGTTTTCAGCAAGTTTAGAAAAAAAAATTATCCATTATGTTTCCAAATACATATCCTGACTCCCCTCCCCCTTTCTTCAGGGACCTCAATCTCACATGCATCAGGCGGCTTGATGTGGTCCCACAGCCCTTTCCATTTTTTTTAAATTCCTTTTTGATTCCTGTGTGTTTTATTTCAGATAGTTTCCGTTCCTAAGTCTTCATGTTTAAAAAGATTTTCTTCTCCAACTCATCTGCCATCAGTCCCATTCAGCGTATTGTTCATATCAGACATTGCGGTTTTTATATCTAGAAGTTTATCTTGGACCCTTTGGATAACTTCCATATTTCTACTTAACTCTTTAAACATATAAATACAATTATAATAACTGCTCTAATGGCCTTGCTTCATCTATCCATTATGTCTGTTCTTGATCATGTTCAGTTGATTATTTTCCTCACCATAGGTCATAGTTTCCTGTTTCTTTATATCTAGTAATACTTTATTGGATTTCAACACTGTGGATTTCTCTTTGTTGGGTGCTGTATTTTTTTTATCATTATTATTCTTAGAAATATCCTTGGGCTTTGTTTTCGTACATAGTTAAGTTTATTAAAAAACAGTTTGATCCTTTTGTGTTTTGCTTTTCAGCATTGTTAGGCAAGACCAAATCAGGGCTCTGTCTAGGGCTAATGTTCCACTTCTGAGGCAAGATCTTCAGGCATGTGCACCCTGTGCTTCATTCATTATGTTTTTCCAGCCCTGGTGGTAGAGGCAGGCACTATCTTCAGTGCTGTGTGAGCCGCCAACACGATCCTAATACTTTTAGATGGCTATGTCTTGACCTCAGATATGTCCCTAACACACATGTGTAAGTTAGCACGTCGCTTAATATTTAGGACGGAGCATCTGCAGATTTCTGGGATTCTCCCTCTGCGTAGCTCTCTCCTCTCCAGTATTCTGTCTTGCAAACTCTAACCACCTTCGACTCATCAGGCTCCATCTGCCTCCTCAACTTCCGAAGTTTGCTAGACTCCGCCTAGACTTTCCTGTCTGCATCACAGACTAGAAACTCCTCAAGGCAGTAAGCTGTGTCATTATAGTGCTCACCTCATTTGTTTCCCATCTCTCAGGGGTCACAAGCCATTGTTACCTGATGGCCAATGCCTTGAAACCATCGCTTCACATATTTTGTCCTTTTTTTCCTTTGGTTGCTTCAGACAAAACAGTACAATGAATCCATGTTACTCCATCTTGTGCAGAGGCAGGAGTCTTTAACTGCATTACCTTTTGATTCACAATCACTTGGTAAGTACTAAATTTGTGCTGAAATTGTACTTATTTTATGGAAAGATAATTTGAAGGACAGAGGAGTTAAGCTCACTCAAGTTTGCCTAGCTCCTAAGTGAGGGATTCTGGATTCACACCTAGATCTGTGTGACACCAGGTTCTGTGCTCAGAGTCACCATAAGACTTGTCCTTCTAACCTTGTGGCACCATGATATCTGCGGGCTTGTCTATGCCATGATCAACCCCAAACCATCTTCACCTGAGGTCCATTTCCAGCCACACTCTCTTACTTTTTCAATTCTGGTTCATTCAAGCAATGGATAGTGAGGGAGGAGGTGATATGGATAAGAAACCTCAGATCTCAGCAAGTAAGTGGAGGTTGGAAAAGGAGCTCTAAGTAAGTGGCACCTAGTGGTCCCATCTGGCCTTCTGCAATAGAATGTGGTCCCTCAGCCACAGGACAGCCATTCAAGGGCAGGCTCCCCATCCATGATAAAAAAAAAAACAAAACTCAGTAAAATTAAAAGCAAGACTGGAGAGAAGCTTGGATAAGGATTCAAACAGGATTATTGTTTTCAAATATGGTTCACAGAATTGTAATTGGGCACAAGATAAAGGCAAGAGGCAGGTCTCAGAACAAGTGTGCCATGGTTAGAGGGTGGACGGAAGAGGGAAGTGAAGTGCTGGAGTTAGCACTGGTGGGCACCTTATCCTCAGCCAGAGTAACAGGGAAAATGGCTCAATGCTAATCCTACCATAAGACAGTATGAGATGTCACACGTCCTTCTTGCTTTAGGTCAGGATATTGGAAGCTGGTCAGACCTGGGCTTAGGCAAACAGAGGAAGAGAGACAGGAGAAGTGGTGCTTAGCTGATAGGTCTTTACGGAGACATGAGGACAAAAGTAAGGGCGGCAGTGTTCTGGTCCTGCACCTCCCACCCTCTTTGTTTGAACTCTCAGCCTCTGCTGGCCTGGGTCGTACTTGAAGCAGCTGGTTGACATTCTCTGTGGCTTTCAGCACAATCACATGCTATTGGGCTGAGGACAGTAATCCTCTACTTTCCCAGAAGAAGCAGAATTGCAAAATGAATAAATGAGAAATATGCCCTTGTGTCTGCATGTTTATCTGATGATCTGGGTTTGTGCATTTCATTGCCATAATGATGGGGGTGAACTCGGCTTTGGAGCCAAGTTCCAGTCTTTATCTGGATGGCCTGGGAGCCAGTCTGGTGGGACAATCAGTGAGCAGAACCACAGTGTGTATGAGTGCCTCTTTTTAAATGCATGACCCAGGATCTACAGGCTCATTTTTTTTTCCTGACATAAAAACAGCCTTAGTTCAGGCTAATCCAAACCAGCAGGTAGCTCAGCATTGCAGTGAAGCACCCATGTTTTCCTTCACTGCCTCCTTGAAGCCTGGCCACAGAACTTGCCAAGGAGTGGGTCCTGGGCTCCCAGCAGAGCCTCCAACCACAGAACCCGGTTTGCCCTCCCTATGCAGTGGGTCCCCTTCTTTGCCTGGAAGAGTAAAGTTAAAAAAAACAAAAACCACACTGGTTTGTCTACTCATAGATGCTTCTTGGAGGCATGATGTAGACGGGGTTTGTCCTTTTATGGGAAGGATTTGTAGTGTCATTCCCCTAGCATCTGTGCTGAGTCCCAGCTGCCCCGTAACCGTGAGTCTCAGCCACAGCGCCCAGCCCCAGAAAGGCACTTAGGGGAAATCAGATCGTGGGTGTCTATTAGACCTTGTAACGGTCCTTTTGAGAATTCTGCTCCTCTCTCCCCATTGGAGACTGCGTCTCTGTGTTTCTCCTGTATGTTTTCTCTTTTTCTGTTGGATTGTCATTCCCCCATGTCCTTTCTTTCTCCTCTCAGGTCTTCAGCGTTCCCCTTCCATCGCCATCACTATACTTCGACATCTGGACCCAGCAGCCCAGCACAACCTAGGTTTAATTTTTCACCACTCACTTGCCCCCTCCCTGCACCTGGCCTTTAGGGCAAGGAAGTGGTTATTCGTTTCCCAGATACTCCATGTCCTTGTCATACCTGACTTCCTTTCTTCATCCCACTGCCTCCGCCTGGTAATTCTTCCTTTACCTGGTATAATTGTCATATTCCAACACATCTTTTAAACATGAGCCCAAATGCTCATTCCCCTGACCCTCCTTAACACGTTACCCCTTCCTGTTTCAGCACTTTACTACCTCAGCGTAATTTCTTAGAACTTTCCTACTAGAATGACTCTTCCTCCGTGGTAGGGACCACGTTTCATTTATCTGTATCCCTTGCTCCAAGTATGGAGCCCAACGCCTAGCAGGTACTCAATTAATGAAAAGGTAAGGAAAGGAAGGAAAGAGGGAAAAGGGGAAAGAAGGTGAGATCTGCTCAGTGTCATATGCTTTCCTTTAAAAACTCAGTGCTCCTGGGATGCTCAACAAAACCCTTCCTTAACTAATCGATCGTCTTGAAAAAGACCACACTAATAGACGTTCTTGGGTTTTTATATTTCACTTTACTGCATTCAATACCAGTCTTGCATGTGGAATACAAACCAGAAGCAAATGTAAACGGTGTTCCCCAAACCATTAGCTAGTCCCCTATCAGGAATCGCCTGCACTCTTGCCCTTTGACCTTACACCTGGCGTGCTAGACTGCTTCTCCGTAACGTGGATTGCCCCTTCCTGACAGATGTCAAGTGTAAGGAACTCCACCTGTTAGATGGACCACGAGGGAAGGGAGGCCCCTGCTGGTCTTCAAAAGGAGCAAACAACATCCTGCCCTGGGTTATTCCAGGTCCACGTGGCTTGTACCCTCCGAACATAATTCATGTGAGCTCATGTTTCTTTTAAATACCATGGTGCTCTTACCTGCCCATTCAGTTTTTGCACTACTTATTAGGTTATGCCAGTATATGGCATTGGCCATGCTCCTGGCTCCATCCCAGTGGAAAGACTAGGTTCTGTTTTGTGGCTGTTCATCTCCTGGCATTTTGACTCTTAGCCCATCCCCAGGCTTACTCAGATTGCCTAGGGCAGTCCCAATTTACACACGTTGTCCCAGTGTAATTATTAACAGCACCCCCTTTCATTCTCATAAGTGTCACAGGGTGGATGATGAATTAGATGATTACCGTACCCATCTCTGGTTTTTCTACTTCTGTCTCTGAACTGACAGCTCACTCACTTGTCACACCCACCTTGTAATATGCTGAGATAGGACAATCCCCATCCTGACCTACTTCTGTCTGCTCCACAGCGTTTGGGATGCTGGGCAGAGAGTCAGTGACTATGTTAGAATGAAATTCCAGCTTTCTGCCCACGTCCCATTGATGAGTATGTCCATATCCCACACAGACACACAAGCACACATGTGCACATGTGCACACTCACAGTTGAAATGACATTAGCATCCTTGTTTTTATCAAAGAGACCTCCATGTAGTAGAAAGGGAGGGAGGAAATTGTCTGGCAGCATTATAATGATAGATGTCAAACAGTGACATAGGAAAGAATTACAAAAGACCAGAAAGCTTGGGCTAGACAGTGATCAAACCATCTTCCTCCAATGGGATGCCATTTTTCTTTCAAACCCCATACTATAAAGGGATGAGTTTTTTTTTTTGCACAGACACTGGCACAAATAATGCTCACAAGGTCTTCCCAGCAGATGCTCATTACCTAAGCCAGCCACCAAAGAGTTCTCACCTAAGTTAAACCCTGTGAGCTGCTTACCTCATGGAAAAAGGGAACATTTCCCTGTTAGAAGTGTTTCATCAGTGTGGCTTTCCATTCTGCTTCCTCTGAAACCAGCAGAAGCCTAAAGGCATTTGATCTGTTAAGCATTTTATGCTGAGAATATCCCTTATTTAAAATGGCTTCATTACACCTCCGGAATGGCTCCAAATAGCACTCCAGGGTTACAAGCTCGTCTATGAATTTTAACTTGGTGTGGGTATCCATGCCCACTCCCTAAACATTGCTGAAAATCGAATTTTCCCAAAGAGCCTTCCCTGATCAAGTAGGGTCAAGGTGGGGTGAATTTTTTTCTCTTAACAAACACTTCTAACCCACACAAGTACACAAATCAGCACAGATAAATATGGACACAGTTCTGACCCTAAATCCTACCCATTTGAAAAAGGAACAAATGTCCAGCTCACTGTTCTTCTCTGGATCCCAGGGCTTCCCAACCTGTGCAACATGACTGGGTTACTGGTGTGCCAAGGTTGATCCTCAACCCCACGGGGGGCCAGGCTGGTCCTGATGCAGCCAGAACTCACAGGCTATTGTCTCAGGGACTGAGCAGCCTCAGTGGTTTTACTCCAACATACTGTTAACATTTTCAATGTGAATTATGGCATAAAATCATTAGGAAGCAACACATGGCCTTAGGACCAAATACATACCTTCAAGTAAATGAAAAGGAAAGCATCTGTCATTGGTACGATGATTAACAAGTCAAAAATAATACCAACAGGTAGAGAAATGGATGAAGGATGTAAAAAAAAACATCCATTAGACACAGAATAATGAATACCTTGAATATTAACACTGAAAATAAACCATATGCCATCCATTGTTTCATGGATTCTCATAATGTCTTTTTCGTTGTTGGTCAGACTTCCATGACATTACCCTCTGAGATCATACTCCCTCTTGACACCATGCAAGGGATCTAACAGAAAGGGAACTTGACGTAGAGAAAAGCACACTGGCCTGGAAATCAGCCTGTCTCTGCCAACAGTGAGGAAACTGTGAACAGCTCCCAACATCTCTAGGTCTCGATTTTCTTATCCTTTCAATTAGGGGACTGACGGAGCTCTTCTACCACCAAAATCCTTTTACCACTGAAATAGACTCTTTGACCATTTATAAACATTATTGAGTCTGGAAGTAAAAAGAAATGGTCAGTATATCCAGTTTATTTCAATGTCAAAACCCACTGCCATTATATTCAGATTTATTTCACTAAGCCAACCAATAACAGAGACATAATACAACGGTAGTAGAAACTCCAAACTCTCAGCTAGGACCAATGATCCCCCCCTTCTAGGACAAGAGGGTTATGCTCCTTTGGCCCCTTGCAGTTAGGCAAACCATGTGACTGATTCTGCCCAATGAACTGTGAGTGGAAGGGATGTGCTTCACTTGTGAGTCCAAGAGTCTTAATAGTCTCAATGCCCTGGGAGATCCTTTAGCACATTCTTCTTCTTCCAGAATTGGAGATAGTGTAGCAACAAAATCGTGTCCTATCAGCCTGGGGTGCCGAGTAACCATGTGAAGCAGACGCCTCTACTGGCTTTCCTGAGAAATACACTTTGGCTTTGGGAGGTGTGGGGGTTGTTCATTTCTGCAGCATCATGTAGCCTATCTTGACTAATACGTTAATGCCACCCACCCACCTACTACACTCATTGTCTGTTGTTGTCTTGTTTGCTTTTTTAGAGAAAAAGTCCTTGGGTGAAATAGAAGGAAAGGAAGGCAAATCATGCCTTTTATTATTTATTTGTTTTGGCCCTGTTGGGTAGCACATTAATTGTAGAGTGGGATTGAGGCTACCACTCACAACGTGAGCTGATGGCTCTAATAACAACAGGAAACTCACTATTCAAGTTTACACTACCAGGAGGAGAAACATTTTTTAAATGAAGAAAAAGCAACCATATTTTTCATTATTGCAAAATACTCATCTTTGGTTCCTATCACCCCATGTCATACTTTTGACCCCTTCCTTAGTGAAGACCCAAAGTGGCCCTGATACATTTGTCTTTTGCTTCCCTGCACTTCTATTATGATGTGAAATTCTAATGCCAGAGCCCCCATCAGCACCTCTGCTCAGTGGTTCGAAGTGGGTTGAATTGTAGCTGGCGGCAGGGGGTGATAAATGTAGCGTGAGCTGCCTTTCCCCTAGCAAACTGCAAATTGCCTGAGCAGTACAACCCACAAAAGGTTCCCATGGAGTGAATTTATCTTGCATTGTCGCGTGGAAAGGGAAAGAGGAGACACCAGGCATTTTATTTTTGCAAAGTCACATTCGATCTTGTTCAACGTGCAGTCCACACATCTTTTAAAGGGGGTTCCAACGGAAGAGAGTGCTAGCCCAGGAATGTAGAACAGATAAAGGGATTTATTTTTAACGCTGTTGGAGTTCACAACTATGTGAGCATTTCAATTTCAAGTCACTCGCACCTGAATAATAATAA